ATGAATGCAGATCTTGGGGAAAGAGAAAGATGTCTAGCCTACAGGTAATCCTCAACTTATGACCAAAATTGGGATTGGAATCTCAATGAGTTAATGAGTGAAGTGTACATTAAGTGAGACATCCACATGACCATTTCACTCAACTGCAATCATGGCTCTCCCAGTTATGGTCATAATGTGGAGCACAGGGGTGCCTCAAGGGCTGGAGAAGGCCCTGGTGACCCCAGCCTGTTCCCTGCCCTGGAAGAGTCAGCCAGCTACAGGGCTCAACAATTTGTGCAAAACTGCTGTGGAGCAGGAGGTTTACAAGCTCACTGGGGTACACAAGGTTTCCATGGGCTGGGAGACCTTGGCTGACTATAGGGTCCACTAGTACAGTGTTACTCAACCTTTCTGGGTTGGCAGCCAGGTGCGAGGGGGAGGGGGGAAAGGGGGTGGTTTTGTGTGAGGGGAAGGTGTGTGCGTACACACACCAGCCCACCACTCCCGTGGCCCAGTTGCAAATAGGCCACGGCCTGGTAGTGGGCCATGGGCCTCAGGTTGGGGACCCCTGCACTACCGTGTTTCCTCGAAAATATGACCTAGCCATAAAATGAGGCCTAGCTTATTTGGGGGGGTTGGGCTAATATAAGCCCTACCCCCAAAAGTAAGACCTACTTAACCCCACCCACTCTGTCCCACCATAGTTTTTTTGGCAGGCCAGATCGTGTGCCTCCCCTCGCCTTACCTGCTGCCGGTGCTGATGCTGCGAGTTCAATTTTGCAGCTCGGTTAAATTGTTCAGCTGCGGCGGGTCGCAGTTCCCATCAGCTTCAGGAAACCTTAGCCCAGGCTCCTTGCAGCTCTACCAATCTGGCTCGCCCGGGGTCAGGTTGGCCGTCGCGGGTGGCGTGGCCCGCCCCGTCCTCCAGCTCTGCCACACATGCGGGACGAGCCTTGAGAGCCAACCTGACTCTGGGCAAGACGGATTGCTTACAGGGAGAGGCTGCGCATTGCAGGAGGACTGCAAAGGGTGCGTCCGGATCCCTGCAGCTCCTGGAAGCTCAGCACTGCTTTTTGCGCCGTTCGGTTTCCCATCCCACCCCCGCCAGGCTGATCTGGTGGGCAGGATTGCCTTCCATCTTCCCCGCCGTTGCATTGGCAACTGACACTGCCCTCCTGGGAGGTGGTGCGGCATTTGGATGGCAGCCATGCTGTGAATGGGATAGAGTAGACCATCCTCTCCAAAGCGCCGCCAAAAACAGTGAGGTAAACGCTATTTGCCAGACGCGGCGCCAAAAACAGCACCACGGAAAGGATGTGCAGAGATCCTTGCAGCTCCTGGAGGCTCCGAGCTGGGCGGTGGCAGGAAGGACGCTGAGGTGGCAGGTAGAGCGCTGGAGGCTTGGGGATGGAGGTTGGTGAAGTGGGTGGGTGTCCTACCATCAGCAACCATGCCTTTCCTTACCTGACTCCCAGCCCTGTGCCATTTCTCCTTCATGATCCGCCGCTGCCGCCGCATGCAAGAAAACAAAAGAAGTGGAGGGGGGGGAAGGTCAATCAATCCATTCCAACTTCTCGCAAAAAAAAAAAAAAAAGATCGCGCGAAGTTGGAATTGATTGACCTCCTCCCCCAAACTTCTATTGTTTTCGTGCATGCGCTGGTGGCAGATCGTGAAGGAGAAACAGCACAGGGCTGGGAATCAGGTAAGGAAAGGCATGGGTGCTGATGGCAGGATGCCTGCCTGCTTTATCACCCTCCCTCCCTGAGCCTCTGGCGCTCCACCTACCACCTTGGTGTCCTTCCCGCTGCCACCCAGCACGGCCACCAGGGGCTGCAGGAGCTGACCTGGGATAGAAAGGACACATGCGCCCCGCCCATCCCGGTTCCGTACCTGGTCCGCCACCATGCTCTCACTGCCGCGTTGTTTCTCCACCCCATGCGCAAGCCCCATCCCTGTGCAGTCGCGGCCTACTGGTACCGGCAAAAAGTAAGGCCTCCCTGAAAGTAAATCCTAGTGCTTACTTCAGAGCCCAAAGAAAGTAAGACCGGGTCTTACTTTTGGGGATACACGGTAGTATGTGTAAAGGTGCCACAGGTAAGGGGCCTTGTCTGGCTACAGGGTCCAGCAATGTGTATTCATTGCTCCATTTACATTTGTGTTCTGTAGCTGCTGACACGCACACCCAGCTGATGCTAGGCACAACCCTCCTCCAGAAGCCATCTTGTGTTATTCTGCAAGTGGGCGCCATTCTTGCAATTATTTGGAAATCTCTTCCAATTGATACGTGTTGCTTGGGCCTGTAACTGTATGAGGTCTCCCAGGTGTAATGGGGTGAACAGCATGATCTTAAGTCCCATTTCTGTACCCTAAGGGAGGAGTTCATCTTCCCTTCATGCATGGAAGAGAACCCCTTCTGCGAGCTGAGATCTTCATTTATTTAAGAATGTCAGTTGTCCTCCTGGAATTTCTTTCATCCAACTCCCAGACAGGAGTTCTCTCAGCAGCTGGCAGCAGCTTACAACCTTCTCGGCTGGCTTCCCCAATGACTTTTTGGGGAAGCTGGCAGAGAAGATTGTAAATGATGATTACGTGGTTGTGGGTGGCAATTGGTCATAAATGTGAACTGAAGTGCCTGAAATGCGGTCATGTGACTATAAGTAGAGTAGCATAACATTTTATGACAGTGAGAAGTGTTTTACAGACTGTAAAGCATCCTTTTTGAGGCCATCATAACTTCAAATGATTGTCAATCAAGGAACTACCAAGGACACACCCATCAACACTGACAGTGCAAACTGCTAGTATACAAAAATAAGAACAAACCCCTCTCCCTTCTAGCACTGATGATGTTACCTAGTTTGGTATTGAAATATCTGCGAGAAAACTGCCAAGCTCGGAGCGCACCGAGGATCCCATAGATTGTTGAACAACCGATCATAAGTTGAGGACTACCTGTAGTTCTAGGCCAGGGGTAAGCAATCTTGGCTCTTTTATGATTCGTGGACTTCAACTCCCAGAATTCCTGAGCCGGCCATGCTGAGGGAAAAGGGAGAAGTTTCCAAGCTGAGCCATGCTGGCTCAGGAATTGTGGGAGTTGAAGTCCACGAGTCATAAAAGAGCCAAAGTTGCCTACCCCTGTTCTAGGCCAAAGCTGGCTCTGGCCCAAGGAAAAACTGAGGAGGCAGCAGAATCAAAATGACTCAAATGCAGTGAAGTTCAAGATGTTGAATTTTAGGAAGGGTTCAGAGAGGCCCAAGTAACATCCCTATCGTCTACTTTCTTCCTTCCCTTTTGTTTTAAGCTTACAACAAAATGTTGATGGTGGGAAAGGATGAATTCCACTTGCAGCTTGTGGACACTGCGGGACAGGTAATTATTTTTTTCATCATTTCACATACAAATGAGAGTGTGGCCTTTCTTGCTCATCACCTGTCATAAGAGATAAACAGCTTGCATCTTAATGCTGCTGGCTTGGGAGCTATAGTTTGGGGGATGATGTCCCTTTAGGATTCATCAGTCTTAACTTTGCTAATGTCCCTTGGGTGTCAAGCAATCACCTCAGAATTTCAATATCCACTGGCTTGAAACTCTGCTTTCACAAGCTACTTATTCAGAAAAGCATAATATATGCACTTGGCATTAGAAATGATCTGTTCCTGAATTAAAAATTCCACCTAGTTGGTGTCTTTCAACAATCTCGTGGAGCGGCGGCTCCCGACTTTTTGGCACCAGAGACTGGTTTCGTGGAAGACAATTTTTCCGTGGACTGGGGAGGGAGGGGTTATGGTTTCGGTTTCGCTTGCTTGCCCACCATTCACCTATAGTCCTGTGGCCCAGTTTCTAACAGGGATTGGGGATTCCTTTTCTTCTTCTGTGTTTTGTCCAGGATGAATACACTATCTTGCCTCACTCGTTTATCATTGGCATCCATGGCTATGTGCTGGTCTATTCTGTCACATCTCTCAGAAGGTAAGAGGGCACAGTTAAGAGCCTGATTATGGTACAAGGCAGTTGGACGATGAGGTCCTGATGAAAACATGGGAATTTCCTGAATTCTGTTAAGGATCTTGAAACAATGAAGTCCTTCCCTTAATACAATTAGTCTTTGAGTTATAACCATTAGTTTAGTGATTGTTTGAAGTTACAGTGGCACTGAAAAAAGTGACTTAGGACCGGTTTTCACTCTTGTATGACTGTTGCAGCATCCCCATAGTCCAGTGGTTCTCAACCTGTGGGTCGGGACCCCATTTGGGATCGATCAACCATTTCACGGGGGTCGCCAAGCAAGGCTGTCCGCCATTTTTTTTGTCCGCCATTTTTTTTCCCCTTTTCCAGCGGGTGCCTTACCTCCCTTGGGCTGGGCCAGCTGGTGGTCGGCCTGCTCCGTCTCTGCCGCTTGCCAGCTACGCCTCGGCCGGCGCAGGGGGCGGAACCACGCATGTGTGGCGCTCCCGGGCAGGGAAAGTCCTCGACTTATGACCGGTTGGGTAGTCCTCGACTTACGACCGGTTTAGTCCTCGACTTACGACCGGTTTAGTCCTCAACTTAGGACCGGTTGGGGTCGCGGCATTAAAAAGGTTGAGAACCACTGCCATAGTCAGATGATTAAAATCTGGACTCTTAGAGAGACAAATAAAGCTATTATTCCAAGCTAAGTTCAGGTTTATCTAATTGGAATACTGTGTTTGTATACCATTTTTTTTTGTTATCTTCTAATCTAAAGCATTCAGATTCACACTATATTTTTCTGGTTAATGGCTTCCTATCCATAAGGGGCATTTTGGGGGTAATGTTTTAAAATGTTTTCTAGCAATCCATGGCTCACACTAAAGATGTAAATAGCTCTTCTAATCTTCTTTTTTTTGCCTCTCCCAGTTTTCAGGTGGTGAAGTCCCTACACAGCAAGTTATATGAAAGCAGAGGGAAGACAAGGTAAACATTAACATGGCAGATCAGGAAGGAATGCAGCTCTAAGGCAAGATGTTCAAGCATATTACTAGGGAACCTTTGTCTGAAAGGCTGGGGTAGGGAAGGGTTCAGTGGCTTGTCACATCTGTATTAACATCTGGAAATATTAACTTGTTTACTCCAGATTCTCTCCCAGAAATAGATTCCAGACTGAACAACATTAGTACAGTATGTCACCTCTAAATGATGACACTTTTTAGGTTTATATAAAACAAAGGTTTTGCCTAGAATTTACTGATACCAGTGCAGAACTGGATTCCTCTGAGCATGTTCAGACTGCATTTCTCTCTCGAGTGTTTCAGAACCTCTGCAAATTGTGTGTGGACTTCAACTCCCAGAATTTCCCAGCCAGCCTGCTAGCTGGGGAATTCTGGGAACTAAAGTCTACACGTCTTAAAACTTGCAGAGGTTGCAAAACATAACACCAAGGAGTTAAGGGGTAGTAGAACATGTAAAATGATTAAAGCTTATAATCAGGTGCATTCCTTAAAATATTTTCATTTAAGATATAGGCAAGGATTTATTAGAAAATGCAGATTGTCCTCAACTTACAGTCATTCATTTAGTGGCAGTTTGATGTTACAACAAGACTGAAACAAGTGACTTACAATCTGCCCTCGCACCTGTTGCAGCATATTCACATGATCAGAATTTGGGCACTTGGCAACCTGCATATATGTTTAAAATAGTTGCAATGTCCTGGGTTCCACGTGATCCCCATTTGTGACTTTCCCAATCTGTTTCTGACAAGCATACTCAGTTGGGGGGGGGAGTGAATTTGCTTAATGACCGTGTGATTAATTTAACAATTGGAGTGATTCATTTAAAAACTGTGGCAAAAAAAGTCACAAAATCTGGCGCAACTCACTTAACAACTGCCTTGGTTAGCAACGGAAAGTTTGGTCCCAAATGTGGTAATAAGCCGAGGACTACCTGCACCTTCAGCTGCAGCACCATGCAAGGAAAGCTATACCTGCAACCAAAAATTCAGAACTGTCCTAGCCATATGCAGAATTGTTGCATTAAGTTACAAGCAAGTGACTACGACTATGGAAGTTGTGAGTGGAGTGGGATGACTTCTCTGTTTGGCATACAAGAAGCAACTTTTAGAAATGTTCCTCCTTTGTTTGACAGGATGCCTGTAGTGCTTGTTGGCAATAAAGCTGATCTGTCATTAGAAAGGTAAGAACTTTTGTCTATTGCTTAAGAAATTATAGCTCAGGAATAAGGATAGAGATAGCTTCAATGTCTTTGAAATGTTGGCTGTAATCTAAGTCATTTTTCTTTCCAAAGGTGTCTGAATTCTAGAATCAAACAATTTTTCTGGATGGAAGAATTTTGGAAGTTTTGGAGCACATTTGCAAAATATTTGCAATGTGTGGGAGCAAGGGTGGAGTTTTTTAGCTACTTATTCCTAAACGGGCTTCCATTTCCCATTCCTTCACCATAATTTCTAATCTCAACTGGCATTTCTTAAAGCAGGCTTAGAATAAAAGTTGTCACTGCCTTCAAAGGATGTTCTTTGATTTTCTTATAATCCTGAAAACCTTTTCTCACATTAGCTTTTACATACTTTTTTCCCCCCTACTGACAGGCCTGGGCAGAAAAGTTTTCTCTCTGTTTTTATGAATAGCACCTTGTATGTACCAATGGCTACATCCACATTCCTGCCATTCCAAAGAAGAATTTTATCTTAATTAGTCCCTTTTTTGTAAATAATTATAAACTCCTGTGGATCTTGCTCTAGGGATAGGATCATGTGTTTCTGAAATTTTTGTCTACATCAAATCTTGTCTCTAGAGAAAAAATTCAGGTGCATTGTTTTTTGTTTTTTATTTATTTTATTCAGAGAGTTAAGGTAAAATACAAACTCTAAAAAACAAAAATAATTTTTTTACAAAAACAAAACAAAAATAGACAAAATATTAAAAAGAAAAGGAAAAATGTGCATTAAAACTGCAAAAGACAGAAACATACTCATATATTATTCACCCTGGTTGAATACTAATAAATATATTGCAACAATACTAGTTTCCTCTTCCCCGCCTCTCTTGGGAAGCAAGCCAAAAATGTACAAACTTCTACATTTATTTGCAACCAATTTGACCTGTCATCTATCTACTATGTATAAAAACAAACTGGTTAACAGGTGAACCAACAGCAAAGTTAAACTTTAAAGCTCTCTGTCGACAGTCTGTTATTGTAGTTAGCTCTCAGTGGCTTCTTATCTACCATAAATAGCAATCATTATCTCTGCATTGTTTTTTAACTCAATTCTTATGGGTGTAAGGTTTCTGAAAATTAGCATTGAGTGAAAGAATAGGATTTGGGTGTTTGCAAACTCTCTTATGCTGAGTAGAAAATAGTGTAGGGAAGCCCTGCAGTAGTGTTGATCCATTATGATCTTTATGTTGTGATTCTTTCTAAAAAATACATTTTAATTAAATTTTAACAAACAATATCAGGTAACTAAAAAGGTGAAAAGGTTTCCCCTGCCCAGCCATGTCCCACTCTAGGGGGCAATCCTCATTTCTGTGGCCGGCATGACTACATGCCAAGGGACATGGATGTAAACAAAAATACAAGATACATATAGAGAAGAAAACAAGCAAGGAAAAAATTCATAAAATGCAAAAGAAATCTTTTACTGTGAGAATAAAGGGACAGTTATTGTACACATGAAAATTTCCTATATAGCGTATATATAAAATATACCAGATTATAACCACTGCTATTGTGGTTATAATATATATGTCCATAAAAGTTACAGAGTTGACTTTGGCCAGATGGGCACCATACAGGTTTGAAAAATAAATAGAAAGAAACAGAACTCGACTGCAATATGACAGTGTTGGTGAGGTTTTGTTTTGTTTTTTAATTGCTCCTCCTTTATTTTTAGTCGTCAGGTAAAGACAGATGAAGGCCGGAAACTGGCTGATTCATGGGGTGCTGTGTTCTTGGAATCCTCAGCAAAAGAAAACCAGGTGACTGATTTCCCCTAAATTAAAGGGGAGGAGGGAATAAGATATATAAAAGCCATACAAATGCCACTTCAAATGCCCGTGTTAAATCCATTGTGCTTTTGGCAGCAAACTAAGGATTTTTCACAGGTTTAGTGTTGAACAGGATGAGTGCATGGGTTAAGTTCCACCTTGAAGAAAAGAGTAGCTAAATCCTTCTTTATCCCAACCTCTAAATATAAGCAGATAACCTTGTTCCTTTTTTTTATATTTCTTAGTAATTATTTCACCAATCAAAGACAAACACGGGAACAAAACTAATGCCCTCTAATGGAGAAAGGAGTGAGATTGCTCTCTGTTGTCTCCTTAAAATAGGAGGGAAGCCTAGCCTTCTCACCAAAAAAGCAGAGCTCCAATAGCGTACCAGTCAATGTGACAAGGGGTCAGTAATGTTATGAGTATTGTGGTTAAGACAGCAGGCTAGAAACCGGGAGATGGTGAATTCTAGTCCTGCCTTAGCCATAAAGCCGGTTGGGTGACTTTGGGCCAGTCACACACACTCAGCCCAACTCACCTCACAGGGTGGTGGTGGTGGTTATGGGAAAAACAGGAGGAGGAGGGAGGTATGTTGGATTTGTTTGTGGCTTTGAGTTATTGGTAAAAACAACAAAGACAGGATACAAATAAATATGTTCCCTGCTGCTTCTTAAACACAGTTGTAAACTTTTTCCCTTGGAGTGACTCCAACACCATCTTTCTTCCCTGCAGATGACTCAAGGTGTCTTCACAAAGGTCATTGAAGAAATTGATCGTGTGGACAATTCCTATGGTGAACAGCGCAACTGCACCATAATGTGATGCTGCTTTCCCCCATCTGATGCTGCTTGGCCAGTGGGAGGGTGGGGGTAAAGCACTGATCCAGGCCAATTCAGGGCAGGTATTGTGGCTACCTAGAGCCCTGATCAGCAGGTCTGAACTAACTTACGGGTAACTCACACACAGATACAATTATACCTCATCACTGGTCCTCCATGGGAGGCGGCCATGTTTTGCACATTAGTTTGCTGGAAGCAATCCATGTATGTATTTCCTGTACATAATATATATATGTGTGTGTGTGTGTGTGTGTGTGTGTATGTGTGTAACGTATTGCCAAATGTTTACAGAAGTGGGAGCCACAACAGGATCTAGTTAGGAATGTTATATAGGGACTCATCTGTGTATTTATAACAAAAATTACAATTGGCTCAGCAATTTACAAAAGGAACTGTTCACAACTCAGTGTAACAGAGGCAATGGGATCCGCTGAAGGCTAGTACTTTGTTTGATAGTTTTGCTTTGGTGATAGCTGAGCCTTGGACCCAGGTGTGTAAGTCAGTTTTCAGTTGTAGCTCTTGCCACATGTGGCCTTATTTTTTTTATCAGGGTGAAATTTCATGACGCAGCCTGGATCCAAAGTAGGGTTTTTTCTTTGCTAGAAATCACAATGTGGCTGATGTCTTAGCAGTGCTTAGTCAGCTTCTCTTTGGTTATGCAAATAAATTTCTTTAAGGACAATAGTTTTGTGGAGAAGAGGAAAGAATCTTTTGTTACATTTCAGTGTGCTAAACACTGTCCTAATTGCATTGAGCCTCTTTGTATAGCAACTTTCTAGTTTGGCTTAATCGTATATATATATTTTAAAAAAAGCAAGACGGAAAAGGACACTCCCAAGCTTGACAAACGTTTCCAGGTCTTGCCTATAATCGTGGCCTCTTTTTGGAGGCTTTCTGAAATGCTGCAAAGGAGTTTGTAAGGTGGTAGCTGTAAAAAGGACTTAAGGACTGGGCTGATCTTCAGTTGCAGCAGTGTTTCTCAAACTTGACAACTTTTAAGATATGTGTGGATTTCAACACCCAGAAATCCCCAGCCAGCCACTGGGGAATTTGACAAGTTGAAATCACACATCTTAAAAAGTTGTTGCCTTTGAGAAATGCTGAGTTGCAGGAATAGAATTGTATTTTGTTCTTCATGCACATTTTTGGTGGGGGGGGGGAACTGAAAAGGGAGGCAGCTTTCATGAATATGTGTCTATAAAACGCTGCATGACCCTGCTGAGGTGCAGAAGCAAAGCTAAGAAGCAGCAGTTTGAGCTGAAACTTTTACAATTTTTGACTTTCCCTTTTGCGAAGCTACCTTTTGCCTTGAATTAGGCATGTTAGCTTAACAATGTAACATACATACATAGAGTTTGTTTGTGTAGATAGATGTATATATAAGAATGAAAAATGAAGCTTTTTAAGTAGTTTCTTTTCTATGAAATGGCCAGTCTCTCTGTTGATCACGTGCTTAGTCTGAACCTAAACAGCACCGCTGTGATTTTCCTTTGGCGTCTTTGTTTGACTTGGTTGGGCACACTTGAGCATGGCATTTAATGCTGGAAATGGGATTCCAGGCTAAAACGGAGTGCTGAACACTGAAGGGAATGAGTGTGCCTAAGCTTCTTGGACTGCAGGGTGAGCCTTTAGAAACGAGCTCTCCAGTGAAGCACAATAAACTTTAATCTAGAAAAAGTGGGGAGAATTGCTTTGATGTTGTGGAAAGTACGTGCATCTTAGCAGCCATAGTCTTACCAAAAGCACATCCTTTATTTTCATAGTTCTTCCTGCCAAAAGCTGGTCCTCTGTGCTGAGGGGACTTGAACCTTGGGCCATCCTCACCTTTTTCTGCAGTCCTTACACAGCTATTTTCCAGATGAAATATTTTCCAGATGAAATATTGATTGTTGTGTCAGTGCATATGTTGGTTTTGGTTCTGCTATTTTTCAGAAAAGCTTCTGTCTTTTAAAGATGTTCCCAGAATGCTTTTTGCAAGGCCACTAGGAATGCTGTATGCATTCAGAATGAAATTGGATGCATAGACAGGGAAAGGGATGGATAAAGATTATTGTTAAAAATCCTGGTTTGGGACGAGTAGTCTCCTTGTACATTATTTTCAGTCGTAAAAATTGCTTTTTTGAATGAGTGCTTTGAGCTGATAGATGAATTGCTCTCAGAATGAATTCACCTGATCCCTGTACTTGGTGGGTGACCATTCCATAAAGGATTTCTTTTGAATTTTATTGGGAGTTTCAGGAAATACTGTTTTTGTGTGTTGTTGCTTCATTTCTACAGCGCTGAGTACTTTTCCCAGATCTTATTTTGAACTATAAAAACCTTCACTTCAAATTTCTTCCCTTCCCATTAATAAATGTGACTATTACTGCTAGCCCTGAAGAGGAGATGTGTGCAACTTTGTCCACATCTTTTGTCATCTCCTGATCCTTTTTCAACAGACTATAGCCAGGGCTGAAATATCTCACCTATCCTATTCTCTGAATCCTGCAGCATTTCCCCTATTAAACCTCTGTATTATTGTATTATACATATTATTGGATAGAAACGTAGCAGTCTACAATCTGGCTGTCAGTTTAGGAAGAGAGTCGTGGATTTCCATGCCAAAATATCTCAAATCGCATTGCAATAAACTAAAATAAATTGGCAAATTCCCTTCATGGAACAGATAGAAGGCATTTGGCCAGATTTAGTATTCCTAATTAAAATGATCTTTCCAAACATGGCTTTGTTTTCCAGGAGCTGAGTTTTGAACTTAATAGTCCTTGCACGCATGAAGTCTTGCTTTCAAATTGTGGGTCAGTTAAGGAGAGGGATAGGAGGTAAGCAATAAGCTGGGTGGGAGAAAAAATTGGGTGTTAGCAAATCCAGGTTCTGCCATTCAGAATGTTGGCTGGCTTTGCCGGCCAGCATCTCTCTCAACGATGTGGATGCTGAGAGCTTCTTTCCAGCAATGTCACCCGCTTGGAAAGTCTAGTCCAGGGCCCAGAGGAGATGTTTTAAAATAGTGCATGCTGCCTCTATAAGGTCACTTAGTTGTGGAGTGCTTCCATTGCCCATTTGAAAAGGTGTATAATACAACTCTGTTACAGAATTTACATGGTTGCTTGCATTTTTTGAGGAAGCCCTGAATGGGGTGAAGCCTCTTTGTCCTAGAAACTAGTGTTACAAAGCTGTCTGCTTTTGAATGCCAGTTCCCTTGGGGCTGCTTTAATGATGAAAATGTAGAGTATGTTTCCTATGAAATAACTCTTAATGCTAGCTGTGAATTACAGTGTTATCAGCAAACCTGGAATTTACACAGTTGGGAAAGGCTGTGTCACATTGGTATCTAGACCTTTTTTATTGCCATGTACTGTATACTCATGATTAACAGGAGCGCATCATACAAGATTGAATTTGATAAATCCACGTGTTTAATTTCAAATCTAGTCTGTTTTGTGTCGGTGAAAGGCAGCCTTGTAGATAGAAGTTGGCTTTTCAAATGACTGCCATACAGGCCTGCTTAATTCCCCGGCCCAATCAATGTTACTGTAGGATGTGATTTCACTCTAGCATCTATTTCTGTAAAGGTGGATCTATATTTTTGTTTTGCAAATCAGTATGAGGCTTAGGTTGCATTGTAAGAAACATTCTGGAAATAAAGTTGATGCTAGAGGCTTGTGTTTTGTTTTACACTGTGCCAGCTTTTCATTTTATCTTATCCCGTTTTCAGTGTAAATACTCTATTAAAGTGAATCAAGATTGTCCTTTAAATGAGATTTCTGTATTGAAATCAAGAACATTGGGGGGGGAATGGCATTAGACAATAGAACAAGGATTGGGAGGGAGTTCCTATGCTTTGCTTTGTTTCTGTAATTAAACTCTTGTTTTCCCTTATGGCTCCAGCCTCCTAATTAAGGCTGCCTGTACATTCTGACTTATGTATATAAAAGGAGGAAAGACTTTCAAAATGGTTTAAGATTGCAAGGATTAAATTTGCACACTGTACACATGTAACATGTACGTGTAACCATGTTTTAACAAGGCACACCATATGGCTTAATGGGTTTAACAGGCCCCACAATTTAAATAGAGACACAATATGGGTTAGCACAATATGTGGGCCAGGTCATTGATGCTACCTGAATTTGTAGACATTGCTAAGGAGATTTCCTTTACCATCCTGAGAACTGGAAGCAGCAACTTGAGCGTGATGATTTCTGCGAGTTCCAGCTAGGAATCTTGCTATTTTGCTATTTCAACGTTATTCTGGCATGGCCTATATCGGAGGTGTCCAACCTTGGCAATTTTTAGACCTATGGACTTCAACTCCCAGAATTCCCCAGCCAGCCATGCTGGGAGTTGAAGTCCACAGGTCTTAAAGATGCCATGGTTGGATATCCCTGGCCTGTATGATCAAGGGCTCCTTCCTATTTTCGCCTGTGTCTAATGGAAACCATAAACGCAAATGCACCTGTAGCTTTTATCTGCTGTGTTGGGAACTTGGTAATGATCTGCCTTGCTGAGCACCCAAAATTGAAGAAGCTTTGGGCTTCAGGCATCTTTGGTACTTGCTGTGTCCTGCTGCCAAGGGTAAAACTAATTTGATGCTAATTGTATCAGTTATGTTATTAGCAGTACAGGAGCAGTATTGAGCCACCACCATCTTGGGTTTTAGCTTTCTTTGAGGTTGCATCAACAGCCTTCAAGAATTCCCTGGGGACCAGCCGAATCCCACTTCTTCCCCATATCTGATCCAAAGAGCTATTGGAGAGTTGATCACAGCCATCCATTTCAAGGCTGGTGACCTCCCCCCCTTTCCCTGGCATCTTCCTTATGCATTAGGCTGTGCTTGCTGCACTCGGTGCCAAGTCAGGAGATCGCTTGTGCTCTCTCATAAATCAGGACACCAATGCTGACAGCTATTCTTCTGGGCCAAGAGGGGACAACTGGTAACCTTCCAGATGGCTGAATTATAATTACCAGCATTCTTCTCCACTGGCC